CTGGGCTCTTTACTGCCGGGGCTCCGCTCCTGTGCGCTCCTGCAGGGAATGACCCCTGCCTATCCTAACATCTGATACCTCCTCCCCACACACAACAAAATAAACTTAAGGATCCAAATGCTAGTATAAAACAGTGTTGTTAAACTGGCACCTGAAGGATAGTGAATCGACAGGTGAATCGCTATAAACAGGGTATTTTTATGGAATTATACACCGCTGAGATCCTATCCCTCCCCACAAATCTCCAGGTATTTCCCAACTTGGATTTGACAACCCTAGCCATTCTTCAAATATGGTTTAGGATGTCCATGGCTTTACTGGGGACACACCAGAAACACACCGTGCCCAGAACAAACAGGCAGCCAGCAAAGACTGGCTGGCAGAGTATCTTCCCTGTAGCTCACGCCCTCCTGTCATTAACCTGGCAGAGGCCATTTTGCCCAAGTCCAAAATTCTGGGCCCATCTTCAAAGGCAGATCCAAACTGATCGCAATGCAGGGATCCAGTCTAGACCATCCTCTAATACTGTGATCGATCATTACAGCGATCCTAAAGCGTCTCCTTTGGAGAACGAGCCCTGCAGCTTCAAGAACATAGCAGGTGTTATTTGGCCGCCAGATTCCTCCCAGAATAGGGCCGCCCGCCTTCGCTTCCATAAAAGGTTCCCAAGATTCCCGTTCCCTGGGGTACCAAGTGCTGAGCACACTTTTCTAGATGTAAAAGGGACAGACTTCACACACTATCCTTGTGCTCGGCCCCCTCGCCAGCCGCTCAAGACCCTCTTAGCAGAGCAGCCGGAACGCAAGCAGAAAATGGTGAGTTCCTCTCCTTTCCGCACAATCCTTCCGAAGACTGAAGGCCTGGGGGGGTTTACATCTCCCCCTAGCAAGGTTTTCTCAGCCAAGCATCAAGGGTAGAGGGAATTCTTTTGTGTCCTGTTCCGGTAGTCCTAAGACTCGGGGGACGGTCGCCCAAAGAAACCAAACCTAGTTATCCTTTAGAATTCACTGCCACAAGGTGAAATTATGGCCATAACAAAACTTAGATGTCGTTTAGATAAACTGTGGGGAGGGAGATGTCTCAGCCACACATGCTTTCCGGAGCCTCCAGGCGTAGAGGCAAGACATTTTTGCTGAACAGACTCATGACAGAGAGCGTCAGGGATTCTTTCTAAAATCTGCAGGTGTCGTGAAGTGGGGAGAGACAGCAAACCCGCTTAGAAGGCAGAAACAGGATTCCAAACGACTGGGAAAGTTTGGGAATCCCCTGATACTAACAAGATGGGATTCAACAGAGACAGATGCAGAGTTCTATGTTTAAGCAAATGAAGCCGTTGCACAGGTGTGGAATGGGGGGATACCTGGCTGGGGAGCGGCATATGTGAAAAGGGTCTCAGGAATGCGGTTGATCGCAAGTGGAAGGTGCTTGGGACGTCTGCTGCGGCAGCTAGAAAGGCGGATGTGGTTTTCGGACTCCACGAACAGAAGCATAGCGCAGACCTCATCCGGAGTACTCCGCCGAGTTGTAAGCATCGTACTTTAAGAAGGATGTAGACGAGACGGGACGGGCGAGGAGGGCAGGGCAGGAAAGACGGTTGTGGGTCTGAGAAACAAGCGTTAGGAGGGAAAGTGGAAGGAACTGGGTACGTTTGGCCTGGAATAGCGAACGCCCTGGAGAGACAAGAGCATCAGACTCTTGAAATACCTGAAGAGCCGCCGCCGTTACATGGCTGAGGGACAGGTCCCTTTGGTGCCAGAAGGTAAGACTAGATCGCATGAGATTAAGTTACATGAGGGTATGTTTCAGTCGGCCATCAGGAGAAACTCTCTCTTGGTGAGAGCAAGACGGCTAGCCCAGTTAGTCTGTCTGTTGCACTGCAAAAGAGCTAGAGTCCAGTAGGACACCTTAAAGACTAACAAAATTCGTGGCAGGGGAGGAATGTTCATGAGCTACCTAAGAAAGCGGGAGTTCTTCAGGATCTCACTGGAGACTTTCAAGCAGGGGCTCGGCAGACATTGGGCGGTGATGCCGTAGCTGCGGATTTTCTGCAATGAGCAAAGGGCTGGCCTAGACCAGTGGTGGTGAACCTATGGCACGGGTGCCAGAGGTGGCACTCAGAGCCCTCTCTGTGGGCACGCGTGCCATCGCCCCAGCCAGGCCCAGACCATCATTAAAGTGTCGAATTCTCTGCCAAATAATTTTAAGTAAATGAAAGCATTTGGGATTGCTTTCCTTACTTTGTTTGGATCCTCTTAAGTTAATGTATGAGTTGTTTTTTTCTAAAGTAGAACCTCAGTATTCAGGTAAAATTGCCGTGTTGGCACTTTGCGATAAATAAGTGGGTTTTGGGTCGCAGTTTGGGCACTCGGTCTCTAAAAGGTTCCCCATCACTGGCCTAGACGATCTCTAAGCCCCTCGATGACTAGGACCCCTTCTCCACTTCGATGGTGCAGGCTGAGAGATGTACTAGCTGGCCAGCCCAGGGTCCCTCAGCTGAGCTTCCGTTGCTGAATGGGGATTTCAACCTGGGCCTCATCGGTCATACTCCAGCCCCTTAACCACTACACAACACCACCAATGTTCCCTCTAAGCTGAGTTAGTGTGAGCTAGCTCACACTAACTCAGCTTAGAGGGAACATTGAACACCACCACTCTTTTGAAAGAGTATCTTTTACTTTGTTGTACGTAAATCGGCTGTGCTGAATGTTTGCCGATTTTAGTTTTGCATTTTGTGTGTGCCCGTGCCTGGAAGTCATGGCGACCTCTGGCAGCTCCTACTGGGGCATGGAGGACGTTCAGAGAAGTGGCTCCATCGCCCGCCTCTGCCTCCCAGCCCTGGTATTCCTTGGAGGTCTCCCTTCCACATACTCACCAGGGTCGGCCCTGCTGAGCTTCCGAGATCTGACGAGATCGGGCTCGCCTGGGGGCTATCCAGGGCAGGGCCCTATTTTACGTTTGGTGATGGAAAAGGAGTTTGGGGGAGGGGTTTTTCCCCCACCCACTCCTGCCCACCTATTCCCTGCCTGATCTAATCATGGCCTTGATCTCCTGCTGCCGGGATTTTTCGTTATCTTCCTGGGAATTGCAATTAGAGGCGGACTGGCCATTTAACTCACAGGGAATCCTCTTGGAGGGCCGCTTGCCTTAGGGGGCTGCTGGTGGCCAGGCGTGGTCAGAGCCAAGTGCCAGCGACTCTGCCCCAGCCTCAGGGGCCGCTTGGCCCCAATCCCTCATCAGCCGTGGCAGTTTCTGTCATCTCGCCAACCGTCTCCTATGGTGCCGTTTCCAGTTTGGGGGATGATGCAGTGGGGGAGCCAATGTCCATTGTTGGCCCTGCTGAGTTGAGTGGCCCTGGAGTGCCGCCTTGTAGCACAGCAGGGGGCGCTCTGCTTGACTCACTCCCAGCCCCTTTTGGCTTCCCGGTCCACGCCTGATGACATCACAAGGTAGGGTCCCCCAGCTTCCAGGTGGTGGCTGGAGATCTCCCGGAATTACAGCTGGTCTACGGACAGCAGAGGACGGTTCCCCTGGAGGGTGGGCTCTATGGCATGGTGCCCTGCTGAGGCCCCTCCCCTCCCCAAACCAACACCCTCTCCTGGATCCAACCCCAAAGTCTCCGGAAATCCCCAAACCCAGAGCTGGCAACCCTACGGAACGTCATGTAGCCAATCGGATGTAGTTGTGTGACCTCCCCCTCCCCCAAAGCTGGAAGGGTTAGGGTTGCCGGTTCAGACTGAGAAATACCTGGAGGTTTTGGGGGTGGAGCCTGGGGAGGGCAGGACTAGAGGAGGGGGGGAACTCAGCAGGGTGTAAAGCCCACCCTCCAAAGCAGCCGTTTCCCCAGGGCAGGGGTGGCCAAACTGTGGCTCAGGAGCCGCATGCGGCTCTTTCACACCTATTGTTCGGCTCCGGGCAGGGCGGCCAGGGAAGCGAAATATCATTAGCAAACAGATTATCATTGGACAAATAGATATCATGATCAATATCTGCTTTTACCCCTTTTGTTATTATTGTTGGCAGTCTCGTTTAATGTGAATAGAAAGCAAATTTGCATATTTCCCAGTAAAAACGTGTAATGTTTGTTCATGTCTTGTGGCTCTCAGACATCTGACATTTATTCTATGTGGCTCTTACGTTAAGCAAGTTTGGCCACCCCTGCCCCAGGGGAACTGATCTCTGTTGCCCGGAGACCAGCTGTAAGTCCCGGAGATCTCCAGCCACCACCTGGAGATTGGCCACTCCGTGGAGGTGGGTGTCACTTTTCTGACTGCTTCATTGTTTTGGTTCTCCCCCCCCCTCCCCTTCAGCTCATCCGTAATAGTCACTCTATAAATTTAAAAAAATCTAATAATAATATTTGTAGAACAAAAGGTTAGTCTGTAGCTGTAGAAAAGAGCAAGAGTCCAGTAGCGCCTTAAAGGCTAACAAAACACGCAGCATCTGTGACTCACGAAAGCTCCTACCCTGCAACATATTTCATTAGTCCTTGAGGTGCTACTGGACTCTGGCTCTTTTCTAATAATTTTCGCGTCTGCAGTGTCAAAAACAGTAGATTATTTTTGACCACGGCAAATTTGGCTCTTTGTCGAGCCAATGTTGGATCAGGCCAGTGGCCCATCCAGTCCAACACTCCGTCACACAGTGGCCAGAAATACCAGGTGCCCTCAGGAGGTCCAGCAGTGGGGCCGGGACATCAGGAGTCCTCCCACTGTTGCCCCCCCCCAAGCACCAAGAATTCAGAGCATCCCTTGCCCCAGACTGAGAGTTCCTATCTGTACAGGGGGTTGCACAGAGTGCCGGGAGTTGGACTAGATGACCTGCAAGATCCCTTCCAACTCTAACATTCTATGATTCTATGATTCTATCCCTTGTGGCTAAGAGCCACTGATGGACTTCTGCTCCGTATGCTTATCCAATTCCGTCTTGAAGCTGTCCAGGCTCGTTTTTCGTTGCATTTTGCCTTTGCCTTTCCCGTTGCCCTGGCGCTTCCAGGACCCAGGGAGGGACTTGATGCCACTGGCCTCCCCCCCCCCCCCCCCCGCCTGGAGTGCCAATCAGGATTATTAATACAAACCACACATGTTCTTAGTTGCTGTGGCAACCGTTCCCTTCCTTCCTTCCCTCAGACAACTTCTCTCCCCCTGTTTTTTCAGATGCCACTGAAATTTTTAAAAATCTATTCAGGGCAATTTATCGTGCACGGACGGGAGAAGGCACTCCAGACATTTGCCTGAAAGCACCCAAAGTTTTTAAAAAGAGACACCTGTATGACTTTCCTGCCTGTAACCTCGACTGGTAAACCGATTTTTTGCCTGCTCTTCTGGAGAACCTTTCCCCAGAAAGAGCAGTTGCCAAAAAAAACCCCCAAAAACGTTCCAGCAAAGGGAAGATCAGAGTGGTAAAAAAACATCCTCCCCTTTGGTAATGTGAAGGAATTATTACAATTAGCAATGAGAAGCCTCCTCTTGGGGTAAATATTCCTGCCTCGGAATAAAACCCATTCTGGTGTGTGAAGGATTCTCGCCCTGGACTGTGCAACGGCGCCCTCTACTGTTCGATGATAGCTTGCGCTCAGAATTGTGATGCCTATCATGCAATTAAAGTTGGAGTCCAGCGGCACCTTTAAGACCAGAAAAGTTTTATTCAAGGTACAGGCTTTTGTGTGCTTGCACACTTCTTCAGGTACCTCAGACTATTTCCAAAGAAGTGTGCGTGCCCATGAAAGCTTATACCTTGAATTAAACTTTGTTGGTCTTAAAGGGGCTGTATCAGGAGGAGGAGAAGGAGAAGAGGAGGAGATTGGATTTATACCCTGCCCTTCACTCGTAGTCTCAGAGTGGCTTACAGTCTCCTTTCCTTTCTCCTCCCCACAACAGACACACTGTAAGGTGGGTGGGGCTGAGAGAGCTCTTTCCAGAACTGTCCTTGAGAGAACAGCTCTGACAGAACTATGGCTTGCCCAAGGTCATCCCGCAGCTGCAAGTGGAGGAGTGGGGAATCAAACCCCGTTCTCCCAGATTAGAGTCCGCGCACTTAACCACTACTCCAAACTGGCTCTGTGTGCATGAATACAAAAGCTTATGCCCCGAATTAAGCTTTGTTGGTCTTAAAGGTGCCACTGGACTCAAACTTTGCTCTAACATTTTATTTAAAGATGAGTTTTCATGAGTCGGAGCTCCCTTCCTTCAGATATGTGGAGGGAAATCAAACTGGGAATTCTTTTAAGAGGAAAGCTTAGGAGTAGGGGTGGAAGGGGCCTGAGACAGTGAGGCGGGTGTGAATTCCTTCCTGAGTCATTCAAGTGTGAATTCTCCATGCAAATTACTAGAACCGGATGAGTGATTACAAAACAGATAAATAAGGCGATGAAGTCAGAAATTATAAATAAGATAACTGAATTAAAAACCGGGTAGAAGTAGTCTGAAGGTGAAAGGAAACATTTGGAACAAGCAAGCGCTGCAGAAAAGAGAAGGGCTGTGACTCCAACGGTCCACCCCGACCTCTCAAAAGCTACCCCTTTCCCGTGCAGACGGAGGCACTGACGCCAGAGCTGATCACGGAGTACAAGGGCATCTTCGAGATGTTCGACGAAGAAGGGAATGGCTTAGCAAAAACGGAAGACCTGGAAAAATTGATGAGCCTGATCGGTATCAACCCGACCAAGAGAGAGCTGGTGAGCATGGCCAAGGATGTCGACAAAGACGGTAAGCTTTGCCTTGCCCTGGATAGCCCAGGCAAGCCCGATCTCTTCGGATCTCGGGAGCTAAGCAGGGTTGACTCTTGGTGGTCTCTAAGGTGCTACTGTTGGAAGTGAAGCCCTTTGTGCTGTCTCTTAGCCTCAGACTTCAGAGGGGAACTATAGAGAGTCAGAGAGAGGCCAGGATCCTGCTCACCCTCCCCTTCTACTGCTCTGATACTGTCCCTTTGATGTGTAGACTGCTACCCTTCTTCCTTCCGGCCTGACACCTTCTCTCCACACTCTGCTTTCCTTCTCCATCTTGGCAGCATGAGAGTGGGACGTGCTTTCTGCATCTCCATCCATCCTAGCTAGTTAGACGAGATTAGAAGTCTATCTCTCCTCTATCCTGTCTAGAATGGAGTTCCTTACAATAAAGGACTCATATAAGCTTTTGACAGCACGCACAACCCAGATAGATTCTGCTGTGTTATGTGCCTTGAGCACTCCGCTAACCCAAATGATCCTTTAGCTCCTGGACTCAAAATCTCACTGTTCTACTGCAGACGAACACAGCCACCCTCTAAAACTGTCCCTTATCTATTCTCCTTCCTCCACGTATAGCTCACACATCTTTCTCCACCTTTGTTTTATCCTCCAAACCATCCCGTAAGGTAGATTAGGCAGACGGGCCTTTGGAGAGAGGCTTGAAGCATTTATGATCCTCAGGCATGCCCTCTTGCCTTCCCCCCCTCCTCCCCCCTCTCCTCCCCCCCCTCCACCCCCCGCTCGATCTAACTGCGATGCGTTCCTGGTGCTAATGGGTATTTACCACGAAAAGTCTAAAAACCAGGACGAGGAGCTCCGAGCGGCCTTCAAGGTCTTTGACCAAGAACACAAAGGCTACATTGAGTGGGACACGCTCAAGTAAGTTGAATGACAGCGATGTACCGTTCTAATTCCCCCCTCCCCCTACTGAGCGGAGCG